CAGCTATCTCCCTGTATTTACTTGGGACCACTAATTGCCTTTGGGGTTCTCCTTTTCCTCTGCATGGGGTGGCTAAAGTTTCCCTATACAAAAGGTCTTTTTCCATGCAAAATCTCTCAGGGCATTCAGGAGACAATACAATGGGCGTTCTGGCTGCCAACCGATTAGAAAAGCAGCTGGTATTTTGCCTGAATCTGCCACCTGCCACTTTCCAGGCCAATTCCCATAGTTTATCTGAACCTCTGTCACTTTCAGCACTACAGATTCTTTCCCAATTCCTTTTAAGGTCATAGTTCTGCCTGGAATTATGACATCCTGGGCTATCAAATCAGAATGTACTATAGAAATTTGAGATCCTGTGTCCCTTATAGCAATGTATTTCTTTCCTCCCACTAATATCTCTTCACCAGTGTTTTTGAGAAGGGTATTGTCATTTTTGAGATTAAAACACTGGTCCATAGGGTCTATAAGAATGTTTTCTTGTTCAGTTGCTGTGGTTGCCATGGAGTCAGAACCTTGGCCACAGTTTCCCTCAGAGGCTCCACAGTTCCCAAGCAGTATACTTTCTTGTTCTGGCCATTATTCTCCACATTTTTAGGTTTATTTTTTTGTACGATTGAATTATAAATGACCAGGCTCGCCAGATTTGCAGCATCCGTAATTCCTTATCTCATCCCGAGGAGATTCATTAAACTTTTCCTCAAGATTCATTTGGTTCTGAGAACTTGGCTATACTAATTTAACTTCTTGAACATGTCCCAACATGTCAACGGCCCCACCCACGTGGGTGGCCATACGCTGGATCTGTTTTTCTCCACCAATGGGAGTGAGAGTGGTCCGATGGTGACTGACCTTGAGTCGGTACCTTTGTCATGGTCAGATCACCACCTAATAAAATGCACCCTCAAAATGGCTCTCCCTCCTCGCAGGGAGCAGGGACTTATTGTTATGGTCCGCCCTCGAAGGCTACTGGATCCAGTTGGATTCCAGGAGGCTATGAGAGGTGTAACGGCTGACGTGACTGGCGCTCCTGTTGAGGCTCTGGTTGACGGTTGGTTCGCCACCACGGCTAGGGCTGTAGACACAATCGCTCCTAAACGCCCTCTCCATCGCAGAGACAGCCCGGTGCCCTGGTTTAACCAGGATTTCCAGGCGTTGAAGCGGGTCAGGAGACGGCTAGAGCTTCAAAATCTCTAGCCTGTTCTAGGGGAATATGAGAATAAATCTCCAGCAATTCACCACTGATTTGTGACCTCAAAACAATCATCCTTTCACTATCTCAGATATTAAAGTCCGAGCACGTGTGCTCAAAAGCGATAAGAAAAGATTCATGACAGTCCCCTTTCTTATATTGGGTAAATTTCTTAAGATCAATTTTAGCCAGAATTCCTTCATTGGAGCTGTTATTATGGTTGTTATTTTGAGAGATTATTTCTAATTGTCTCATTTGTATTCACGAAGGCTTTCACGGCCGGGATCTAATGGTTGTTGTGGGGTTTTTCGGGCTCTTTGGCCGTGTTCTGAAGGTTGTTCTTCCTAACATTTCACCAGTCTCTGTGGCCGGCATCTTCAGAGTGCTGTCCTCTGAAGATGACGGCCACAGACACTGGCGAAACATTAGGAAGAACAACCTTCGGGACACGGCCAAAGAACCTGAAAAACCCACAACAACCATTGTCTCATTTGCATTTGAAAATCCATCACTTTTTGTCTCAATTCCATTTGTCTGGCCTCTTGCTCAAATGCCATTTGTCTGGCCTCTTGCTCAAATGCTATTTGTCTGGCCTCTTGCTCAGCCTTGAGCTGTAATTCTGAGCTTTTTCTCTAATTTCTAATTCCCTGGTTCTCTCTCTGATCTCCAATTATTTCAATTGAAATTCCTGTTGTAATTTCCTTTTTTGAAAATCTAGGGAGCTTAGGACACCTGGTCTTTCTGAGGAATTTTCCTCAGTCTCTAACTGTTCTCCTGAAGTTAAAGGGTCTCCATTTCCCTCCATTTCTGAGGTACTAAACTTTGTGCCTCTTGAGACTCAGTTTCCACTGTTACTGGTCTTTTAGTTCCTTTGGGAGGCATATTTATCTGAGTTACTTTTTCTAGAGTGTGTTTCTACTGATTTTATAATGGACCTGTCTTTC